ATTCCAGGAGGCTCCATACTCCTGAAAAGATGCCTCACGGGGATTTGAGACGAATTTTACAGTTTCTCTTAACACAGTGGTTTTATGGCATATAGGACCCCAGGGAGACTTCCCTAAAGCTCTGAGAATAAGGTGTTATTCCCCAAGTCAGGTGGCAGAGGGGATTTTGCTTAGCTGCTGGGGGTTACTAAGCTGTCATCAGAGCGCCTTGGAGCTGCATCTGAAGGAGGGGCCTCGAAGGCCACCTGGAGCGTCCCTGCCCCTGAGGACTGAAAATGAACAGCCCTTTCTTTCCTTGGCATCTGCCAGCAGGAGCAATGGCCGCACTTGCCTGGGGTCATGGCCCATGGTGACCTTGACTGCTGGACTGACTTCAGATCTTAACATTCTTCTGCAGGAAGCATCCCTGCGTCTGTGGAGGATCCTTGACCTCATACTTCTCGCTGAGCCTGCCCCTCTGCTCACTCTCAAAGCCACCCATCAGGCACCCAGTCCTCAGTCTGTGCTTGGATAGGAAGGCAGTGGTTCTGTGGCAGAATTACTCGTGGGCCTTCCCCATACAGTACAGACTTCCTGGATCCTGGCTCCAGGCCTCCTCTAGATGGTCAGCTCCCTCCTCCTTGAGGAATGCTCCTTCCCACTTCCTACCTTATAGACCTCGTTTTCCCTCAAATTACAGACTTACCCACCAGGACACCCTGCATACTCACCACTGACTGCTTGGTCCTTTAACTGCTTGCATATGAGTTTCCACAACACCTACCGGGCACAGTTTGCGAACTTATAGGGAGCTCACACCACTGCCTCTTTTACTTCCTTGGGTTCCTTTGCAGCCATGCTGCACCTGCTGTCATCTTAGTGACTTAAAGTGTTCATTTTCCTGTATAAAAACGGGCACTTGGTCTTCTGAATATAAACGTAATGTATGGACACTTCTTAATGTTATTGTACATTGGGGGCCCCCCGTGCTGTCTGAATGAGTTCCCTGTCTCAGTTCCTTCCTTGGCTGTAACCACTTTGCCTGTGACAGTCATAGCCAGCATTGCTACCCACCTACAGCGCCAGGAAAATCCCAGCACTGGAGCCAGTCTTGGGCCGCCACACTCCTCCTGCTAATTATCCTGCTATCCAGCATGTGTCCTGGGAGTCTCCATGGCCTCCAGAGTGTAACTCTCCCCACTAGTGTTGGTTGGATCTCTTATGATGGGGCCTCTTTCTGCCTTAGTCCTGGGGCTTCGCATTCCTGCTCCCAGCTTAGCTGGGTGCCAGGACCCATAGAGCCATGGTGTGGGTGAACCGAGGCTCCCCAGAGTGCCCAGACCATATGAGTCTGTTTTGCCCTTAGCACTGCTGTAGGCCTGTCATCCTTGGGTTCCACCAGGCCCAGCCTCTACAACCTGGTGCTGGCTCCAGGGCCCCAGCCCACTTCTCCCCAGGCCAGTCACGAAGTTCTGAGTATGCATGTCCTGAGCCAGCTGGATGGGCTGGCCTGTGGAGGCCTTGCTGTCCTGATGGCCTACCCTGCAGTCTCCACCCTGACTCAGAGGATGGCCATATCCAGCCAGAGGGGTTCCTCTTCCCACTGCTACTGGCCAGTGGCCAGGGCAGATTTGTCCATCAGCCCCACACACATCCAGCTCCTTCTCTTACTCTTGCCACAAATTAACTTTTCTTTTTATTCCCCAAAGATCCAGTGAAAACTTCTCTGATGATAATGGTAGCAAATACTTCCTGAACTATGTGCGTTGAGTACTGTTCAAGCACCTTACATGTATTGCCTCACATCGTCCTCACATCCTTGGGAATATGAAACATGATCTTTGTTCTACAAAGATAGGATTAAAGAATATGGCATGTGAGTGACAAGCTGAGGCACCTGGGTGACCACACTTTTCAGGAGCCACAATTTCAGGTTTCTAGGCACTTGGGCTTCCAACTGCTTGCCCAGCTTTGACTCTTATGTTTCTAGAATCTTCTTGCCATTTGTCTCCTTATTCTGGTTCTAACCCCTGTGTCTTCTCTCCTGAGCCTTGCTATCTTCTCTGTTGCCTTCAGCCTGCCGGCAGATTGAAAGCTAAGGACTGCAGATTTGCAGGGACTCTGCAAAGAGCATAATCCAGGTGCATGTCATTGAGAGTTGACTGAAAATCTAACTAGGGTCTTCTTTAAGGCCCACTTTCTGAGTCTTCTCCCCCATTTCTGGGCCCATCTTGTCAGCTCTACTCTGTAGCCACCATTCCTGACCCCAGTCACAACTAAATTATGCATCCTGACCCTCCCTCCCAGCCTTCTCTGCAGCCAGAGGTCATGTGGAATCTCTGCACCCATTATTACAGCTGCTCGAGAGCCAGCTTCTGCTTCAGCAAGTGCTGCAGGGGTTTGCCAGCAGAGTCACCTTCTGCGGATGGGTTAGCGGCCTTCTAAGAGCCAGCCAGCTGCCTGACAGCCTCAGCCTCCCCCACTCAGCCCACATCCAGCAGCTGGGTTACAAAGAAGGGGAACTTGCTATTTAGAAGGGAGTCAGAAAGAGCTGTCAGCAGGACATAAATATTCATAGAGGGAGGTTAGAACTTGAGTCCCTAAAACCTTGATTTGTGTTAGTCTGTTTAAGCCTCATTAAAAAGTAGTAAATGAAAGTGGGGATATTCAGTGGAACTGCAGAGAAATTGGGCTTTTTCAGATAAAGGCCTCCAACTGCCAGCTCCACGGGCCCTGCCCGGAGCACAGCGGCAGATTGGCTTGGCCACTTGCAGCTTGCCAACCTCAATTTAAAGATTTTGCTTAGCATGAGTTCCTGGCCTTGCCCCGGGCCAGTTAGTGCTTGTTTGGATACCTGATAGCCTTCTAGAAGTGTTTAGGGATGGAAATCCCCAAACTTTTCCTTCCCAGAATGACATGCAAACCACGGCCTGGCCCAAGGGGTGGCAGGGAGAAATCTAACCAAGGACTAATACTGCACCAGGTGATCCACAAAGGCCATATCTGTGTGCATGACAGTTGCTTCTCCTAACTTCTCCCAGCTTCTTTGGGCACAAGTGGAGGCTTTCAGTGACCATTGCTACATGAGGCCTAAATCCATCCCAGCTCCTGGGCCCCAGCCATGCCCAACCCTACTCCATGGCTACAAAGACTGCAGTGGGCCAGGCCTGTGGTCACAAAGGAGACAAATGGCCAACATGCTTCTAGGGCAGGAGCTACAAAGTCAGCCCTAGGGGCCAAGCAGGCACATATATGAGTGCAATGGGTCCATCTGGGCCAGACTTGAACCCCAAACTCCAAGTTTACACCCTCTGCCCTCGGGGGTCCCAGCATTTGGGAAGATGAGGTTTGTACACATGAAGTTGGAATGACAGTACATGCTCAGCCTCATGAGAGGACTATTTGCTGGGGGCAGGAGGCAGTACCCCTCCAGCAGAGGCCTCATGGAAGAGGTAGAGCTTCAGGAATTAAGCTTTGTGTAGGACCCCAGCATGGAACTTGGTGTTCTGATTGAGGTTTCTACACCATGGAATGAAAACAGCAAATCTCAGGGTCCTGAGGGGCTGGGCTCTGTGTGTTGGGGGTGCTGCTATCAAGACCAGGCCTCCAGCTCTGGTTCCACTGACCATCGGCACCAGCCGTGGCTGTTCCTGGAGCCTGGCTCCCCAGAGCTCATCTCCCTACAGCGCCTATTCTAGGATGGCCTTTGGCCTTCCCAGGCACAGGCCCTGTCTCCTGGTTGGGGCTGTTTCCCAGGACAACCGTCCCTTTGGTGCCCATTAGCAGAGAAATGACACAATTAACCAGGCAATTAACTCAACCCGATGCAGTCGCTCCCTCCCACAGGACCCTGTTTCCGGAGGCAGAGTTGGCAGCAGGCTGGGCTGAAGGAAAGGGGATAGATGGTGCATCGTCTGTGCCAGGCACTGGGATGAGGGAAATGGCTGACCCAGGATGGGTGCTGGCCAGGGAGAGGGGCAGAAGGCCTAGGGACTTAAGTGCAACTCTGACACTGGCCTGACCACGGGCCTGGGACTTGGATTCGTACTTGTGATCATTGGTCCCGCCTCTTCAGGGGCCACTCTAAAAGGGACTGGAGCAGGGAATTGACTAAGACCGCTAAGAGGGGAGGAGTGTTTCGCTCTGGCTCCTCAGAGAATTCTGTTTGGGGGCCCTTTCTCCCATTTGTGAAATAGAGGTCATAGTTGCTATCCTTCCCAGGGATGTGGTGAGAATGAGTTAAGTCAGATGGAAAAGTGAGCATTCCCGGGCCCTCTGAACCTTCCCATCTAGGCTCCTGTCAGCAGGGCATTGGTTCACGACGAGCAAGCAGGTCCCAGGCCCAGAGAGGTGGCCATTTAGACAGACATCTGGGGACAGATGGACACGGATGAGCTTTCAAGGCCAAATGCATACCAGGACCCAGGGTTTATTTTATCAAGTGTACATCTCTGAAATTATAACCAAAACAAATAGGAAAACTGATAACTTTGGCAACCAACCTTTCAGAAGCAATTTTGCCCCACAGGTTACAGCTACCTTGATGATGGGCAATACTTTGCCTCAAGAACCCAATCAGAAAGAAATAGAAGTTTTTGAGCTGCATTTTTTTACACTCACTACTTTGTGTTGGTTCTCATGGTAAAATATATATTCTTACAACTTAGACTAGCTGAACATCAGTGGGAAAATACCTCTGGTTCTGCCCCTCGGTTTCTACCACCCACCCCTCACGTGCGTGGGGTGCTTTGGAGAGGCCGAGCCTTCCCAGAGCATCTCGTTTCATTCCAGGATACCCTTGCGTGGCTGGCATCTGCCATGTTCAGGGCGGCTGTGAGGCCCTGAGCAACACCCCCAGCCATTTCCAGTGGGGCTCAGGCTGTACCACACGGAGGCCGAGGACAGCATAATAGAAATGTTAGGGATGACAGGGCTTCCTCCTCCCCATCCCAGAACCCTGCCTATTTTGGAAGTTGGAAGGCTCTGCTGCCCTCTCCAGCGGCTGGTGTGCTGTGTTTCAGATTGATGGGCTGGAGGAGAAGCTGTTGCAATGTCGGAGGGACCTGGAGGCGGTGAACTCCAGGCTCTATGGGGCGGAGCTGAGCCCAGAGGCCAGGTAATGCTCCTGCCCCACCTCCCGCCCTTCTTCAGCCCCTCATATCTAACCTGGGCCCCGCCACCTGCCACAGAGACCTTGGCCCTTGTCCAACTTGCCCAGGAATGCCAGCTGCCCCTAGGGTGGGAAGGAAAAGGCTTGAGCCACAAAACTCCTTCTCCTCACAGGAAGTCTCTGGAGAAGGAGAAAAACAGCCTGATGAACAAAGCCTCCAACTATGGTAAGAAAGTCCCCTTTCGTTACCAGCCCCACCCTCCAGTCCCAGGGTCAGGAGGGACAGACAGCCCAGGGAGCCCATGAGGTGACAGGGATCCAGGGGGCTCTTCAGGGGGGGTCAGCCCCCAGGAGGCTATAGGAACCCACTATCAGCCCAGCAGCCTGGGAGAAGAGCAGGTCTGTTCCTATGTTCCAAGGGAGATATAGAGGCCTGTGGGTCTGTTCTTCCTGGGACGAAGGGGTATGACAGTAGCCAGGCCCAGAAAACATTCTCACATCCACCCAGACTTGGGAGGGCTGTTTTCTCTGTCCCCCAGCCCCCACCCCCACCCCCTTACCTCCCCCCCCCGCCCCCCCCAGGAAAACCCTGTGATGGGAGTCAGGGCCTTGGGGACCTTGAAGGAGGATGAACTTGGGTGCCCTGAAGGGCTACTGGAGTGGAGCAATGCTGCCACCTTCTGGGTGCTGGGGGCACAGCTGGGTAGAACCCTGGCAGGGCACTGAGCTAGAGGGAGGGCAGCTGCTGGGCCCACCACCACCCCTTCCGCCCTCCTGCCCCTGCCTGCTGATCCGCAGAGGCTCATCCAACTTATCTGTTCTGTTCTCCCTGAGGGGCCAAACCTGGCCTAGAACCAGCTCAGAACAGGACACATGGCAGGGACCTTCCAAAGGGACCGATTTTGAAGAAACAGTGTGCGCAGTGCATGTGCACACACCCCTGCCTGAGCCTGGGCTCAGTCTGGCCTGCCCAGAGCTGGTCTGCAGGATCTCCCTGCTCCCTCTCACAGGCAGAGGCGGGACATCAGTGCCCCCCACCCTAGCAATTTTCACACAAAATCACAGCATCCCCACTGAGACGGTGTGGCTGCAGAGGACTGGCTTCTGCCAGAAGTGAGCCCGACTACCTCACGGCACAAACTGCCTCCTCTTAGTGTCCCTCGTTTGTTGGCTGGGCGCCCAGCAGAGGGCACAGAGCCCACCCAGTGACAAGTGGAGGGACTCACCTGGTGACGCCATGCCACCACATAGCTTGGCTTTCACATGTGGCCTTTTGGTGACCCCTCACACATTCCATCCTCAACTTCAACTGCATGTGAAGAGAAATGGTTGAGGAGCATTGTGTTGGGGCTTTTGGAGGCTGGGTGGGATCTGTAGCCAAACGATGGGAGGATCAAGGACAGAGTCCTTTCCATGGATAAGGAAGTGGCTGGCAGGGAACAGCTCGGCCGTCAGCAGTGTGTGTACCCACTTGTGGGAGAGGCAGAGGCAGCTGAGAATAGCAGATGGGCCTAAACGACCTGTCCAACACCGTTTCCTCCCAGAGAAGGAGCTCAAGTTGCTTCGGCAGGAGAACCGGAAGAACATGCTGCTCTCCTTGGCCATCTTCATCCTCCTGAGCCTCATCTACGCCTACTGGCCTATGTGAGCCTGCGGTTTCTCCAGTCAACAGCCCAGTCACAGCCAAGCAGGCCCTTTAGGACTCAAGAGGACCAAGGTACAAGGGGCATTTCTACCCCACCAGACACTGAGCAGGGCTTCCTGCTGGCTCAGCCCCTCCTGCTTCCGCTCCTGGTCTCCAGGACTGTGCAGGCTCCTCCCTTAGCCCAAGGGAGAGGCAATAAAGAACACCCAGGCGGCTGTGTGCTGAGCAAATGTCACGTCTGACTGCGGCTGGGGGGGCGGGGGAGGGGGCGGCGGCACTCAGGAACCAAGGAAGAAGAGATGTTCAAGGCAAAGCTCTTGGCTTAGAACTCAGAAGGGGGGTTGTGAATGTGAGCCCTCAACTTAAGTAGGGAATAAAGACAGCGGGAAGCACTCCCCAAGCCTGAACTACACTGAGAGCCATTTCCAGGGCTTGGGCATCGTGCCACGTGCCCACCACCCCCACCAAACACGTTGTCATGCCCTGCCTGCACTTATGGCAGGAAAAAGGTAGCCTGTGCAGCGAAGGGCAACTGGGGACTTGAAGTGGTCGCTTGGCAGTCCTACGGATGCAAGGAGTTAATCCGTCTTGAAGAGGCAGCCAGGCTGGCGAGGTCTGGCGGAGTGAGTGGGCTACAAGAGCCATGGTAATGACCAGACTGACTTATGGTGACAGTGGGCAGTAAATCAGGCGGGGTCTGCTGGGAGAAGCGGTAGAGGTGGGGCCGACAGGATGGGGAGGCAGGAGCCGCCAACACAGACATCACACGCTGCCTCTGAGCTCATCCCCCAACCCTAGTCCCAGCACAGGGCCCAGGATGCCGTGCGGGAGGCTGGAGCAAGGTAGACAGAACAGGGCAACCAAAAGGGTGAAGGGCTTAGGAGCTGAGATTGCCCCAATTAGGTAAGTAAAACATGGAAAGGAGCTGCCCTGGGAGCTCAGGAAAGGACCATGAGGCTAGGGAGAAGGAGCCAGGTAAAGTGCAGGCAGGCTCTAGAGCAGCTGTTCTCAACCTGTAGGTCGCAACCCCTTTGGCGGTCGAACGACCCTTTCACAGGGGTCGCCTAAGACCATCCTGCATATCAGATATTTACATTACGATTCATAACAGTAGCAACATTACAGTTATGAAGTAGCAACAAAAATTATAGTTGGGTCACAACATGAGGAACTGTATTTAAAGAGCCAGAAGGTTGAGAACCACTGGTCTAGAGGAAACCAGCAGTGATGGGACTGGGGAAGGAACTAGCCTGGACCGGAGTGGGAGGAGCCCTCAGCACCTGCGTGTCTCCCACCCCAAGTACAGCCCCCAGTGCAGGCACATGAAGGAGGGATGCTGGCTGGGGGTTGGCACAATCATCTCTCCCTCCCTCCTTCCTCTGGTCTAGTGGTACTAATTGGTCTGACACCTCTGTTATTTCAGTCACAGACTGATCCTGGATTGTCACAGTATCACTAGAGTGAGCTGTGTGATTTATGTAAGGGGGAAAGTGCCTCCCTACCCTGCTGGGCTGTAGGTTCATTCATCCTCCCATCCTGGCTTCTAACAGAAGCTGCATAATTTGCTGACTTCCTTGGGCCCCTCTCTGGCAGCAAGTAGCAGCTCTGAGAGCCCTGAGCTTGGACAAGGCTCTGATTAAACAAACCCTCTCTTCTTCCAGCACAACTTCCTCCCCTTCACCTTCAGCCCAAGCTGTTTTATCTAAGCCAGTCCCAGACCAAACACGGAGGACAACCAGCAGCAGCCCCAGCACAGAGCCACACAGGCATTAAAAATATGTTTATCTTTAATGATCCAAGATTTTGCAAGACACACATATACCCACAACTGGGTGGAAATACAACATTTTAGCAGTGCTGCTGCCAACCTGGGGGTCGGGGAAGGGGGGGGAAGCACGAGAGCTGGGTACTGGCTGGAGACACACCCTCACCGCAGGGTGGAGCCAATTCCAACCTGACAGGGAGCCTCAGTGCCCTATCTCCATGGAAACCAGTCTAGCACTGGGAGGGGGCCCTCGGGAGCCTGTATGAACGTCTCTGGCGGGTATTTCCCATTAAAAACCACCACCAGTGCCATCCCTACCCAAAGCTACTGCCCAGCTTCCCCCCTTCCCCCTCAGCCAACACCACAGAATGGCAAAAGTGACTGTACCCCCTATGGGTAAGAAGGGAAGGGTAGCAAGGTGGCTGAGGCAAATGAAGTACCCTCTGTTGCAGTGGGGCCACTGCTGCTGGGGCACAGAAAAAGGCAGGGCTTCGAGGGTGCTTCCTCCCCTTCTAGAGCTGCCCAAGATTTGGGTCAAAAGGGGATGGGGCCCAGGAAGGCTCTACCACCCCAGGAGGCAGTCACATCCACTACCAGACAGTGCGACCTGCATCCTGGTGTGGTGTCCCGGCCTGCGGGACTGTCAGAGGTCTAGGCTGAGAGCTCCAGGGAAGACCAAGACAGTGGGGGGACAAGACAAGAAAATCTTCTCCAACTTGGCATCAAAACAGAGCAAGTTCAGAGAAACACAACCTTGATTTGTACAGCAGGTGCTCCTGGCCAGCCCCCGACAGTGGCCTCACCCACTAAGGGTTGGCCCAGTAAAAAGTTGGGCAAAGCTGGGGCAGGGCCACCCTCAGGGCAGTCACAGAACTCAGAAAAGTGAGTCTACAGGACACAGGAGAGAACAGAGCCAAAGCCCTGCTGCTCTGACACGTCCTCCGCAGCCCCACGTGCCCTGGGCCCTGACCGCACACCACGTAGGAGCAGCGTCTTTCAGGCCGAGTCCTCGCAGGGGAGACAGTTCCCAGGCAGGTCTCCGGGGAGGAAAGTCTGAAAGGTGTCCCAGAAGGAACATGTGAGTGTCCTCTGATGGCCCCCGACTGAGCTCTTCAGGGGAGATGGAGAGGAGACCATCCACCCCTCATGGCCAGGCTGTGCTCTCCTGTCCCTTTCGAGAGGGGCCCAGGTAGAGCACCCTAACTCTGAACAGCAGGGCGGTCAGTAGGAGTGGGCGTCCCCGGGTCCTCAGGCGCTGTGCGTCTGGATGAAGGAGAGGACATCCTCCTTGGATAGCTTGTCCGGGTCCTGGGGCTTCTGGGAGTCATGTACACGGATGCCATCCCCCCACTCCCAGAAGAGCCGGCCATAGTAGCAGATGCTGGGAAGGAAGGAAATCAGAGGGCTGTAGCCAGAGAGCAGGACCAAGAGATTACCACCCACCCCTGGCAACTGGTTTAGGGGATGAACTTAAGTGGGGAGGCCCCCACCCAGGACCCCAACCATCACAGCAGGTCCTGGCATCACTATTAACGATGCCACTTGAGGGTCTTCCTTCTGGCAGCCAAAACCCCAGAAAGCTCCCGCTCCTCCTCACTTCCTAGGAAACCACATTTTCCCAATAAACAACTGCTGCTGCTGTTAGCATCCATCGGAATGGCTGATTAAACCTACAATCAACAACCTGGCAAATGGACACTGGGTCCCGACAAGGACAGTTGGGACCCGGAGTTACGAGAGGCAGGGCTGTGGGCACTCAGCGTGTTCGCACCACCAGGACAGTGTCAGCAAGTCAGGGAAGCAGTAGCTGCTCCATGGGGCAGGTGCCCTAAGTGGGATCCTTCCCGGAACCCAGGACCCCCAACCATCCAGCAGGTCCTGGCATCCCTCTCCTCTCTCTGAGCTTACTGCCCAAGCCCAGCCACGCCCTGGAGAGGCCGCCCTCCACACCCCTGTAGAGAGGAGTCTGGTCCTTGCTCAGAGGAGCCCCTGCATTGGCAGCAGTTGGTCCTAGTACCTGGGCTGTGCCCCAAAGGACTGGCTGGCATCCTGGCAGCAGTGCGGGGGACTGCTGAGGGGCAGGCTACTCACTGAAATGGGGCAATGGCGTCTGCAGGGAGCTCAAAGGTAGAGCTCTTGGTTTTCTTGTTGTAGAAGAACTTCCTCTTAAAGCTTTTGCTGAATGCCATTGTCCACGGCTCTGAGGAGGAGAAGAGCCCAGGAAGGACACAGTAACCAAGGGGACAGGGCGGCCAATGCAGGGTGTGCCCTCCTTCACTCTGTTCTTCCTTCCCTCCCCAAAGTGCAGGCAGAGACCAGCCTGTGAGGACGCAGCCCTCGTCTCCAGCCTAACGGGGCTCCAGAGGACGACTAAGAGGCTTAACCGGCCCACCCAGGCCTGCTAACCTGCACCAGGGCAACATCTGTGGGACCCCAGCAGAGGGCCCTGAAGACGGGGGTTCTACAGGGCATGCAAATGGCCAAGCCGGACTTTCTGGATCTGCCAGAACACCCCCTTTCTGCCATGAGGACACCACATGCATATACAAGTTGGGCTCCTCTCTTCCCAGCCCAAACCTAACCCCAGGACCCACCACAGAACAGAAGAGGCTCAGGGCACACAATCCCCCGCCCGTCCCCATGTACCTCAAAGAAATGCCAGGCTGGCTGCTACCCACATTCATAGGGAACCCCTAGCTCTGGCATAGGCAGGACCTGGCCAATCACCCTGAGGGAGGCGGGGACAGAAAACAGTCACTCATCACCCACCGTTCACTGTCCTGACGATGTAGAGACCAGTGGGCACGAAGTGCCTGTCGTCCCGCCCTGTGTAGCTGAGCTTTGGGGTGCCGCTGGAGCCCTTGATGATCTTCATCTCCAACCTGGTTCCCAAGCAGGCATGCGGGCAGGAAATGGAGTGTGTGCATGAGAGAGAGGAAGCCCTAGCCATAGTTTCTTGCTATCGTCAAAATCACACCAACCACAATAGTTTATCTTAGTTCAACTAGGAAACTGAGGCAGAGACATGAGTGAATTGCTCCAAGCCACACAAGTGAGTCCAGTGCTGGGTTCGGAGCTCAGGCTTAGGCGCTGAACTCCCAACTAAGCAAAGGCAGGTGGGAAGGGACAGATGCCCCCGACAGATTGCTGTTGCTGGAGTTTCAGGGTGACACCACTAAGGACAAGATCTGACACCACGGTTGCCACTGGTCTACTGACTACCACCCATAACATCACTGAGGCCAGTACAGAGTTAACGCGAGAGCACTGAGAGCTGAGGCTAGAGCAGGTGCACATCCAGGATGTGGCCCACAGGTCTGAGCTATCCTTCCCACCTCCCCCCGCCACCCCCTCCCCACCTTCCACAACTAAAAATCCAAGGAAGCAGTTATGCCTCCCTCCCCTCCAGGCTCAATCTCTCTGTCAGCACCAGGAGCTGGGATTTATGGTGTTTCAAGCA